AGATCTCCTGCTCCACCGCTGACGCGTGCAGGAAGATGCGCCAGCTCTCGGGCACCTGGGCGCCCGCTGCGGCGGCGGCAGGAAATGAGAACTGCAAAGCACGATGACTCATGGCACTAGCATGCGCTAGCCAAGTTCAAGGACCAAACCTAATTAACCCACCTAACACCCCCTTGACCACGCTGCCCCGCCAACAACTGACCACCAGCCCCGTAGCCGACCTGCTCATCGAGATGGAAATTGGCATAGACTGCTGCATCGGCGATGCCAAGGAAACGACTCTTCAAATAGTCGCCTGGACACGCATCGGGGCGGAACCCGCAGGGCGTCCAGTTGTACGGCGCGGGGCGTCCTACGACCCCGACCCCACGGCGGAGCAAGAGGGGAAGCGACGCGACCGTTGGCACGTGGTGTTGGGAGGAGCGCCGGCGTTGTGGCAAGAGAGGCCTTTGGATGTCTTTGGTAAAGACCCACTCGCCATGAACGGGGGGGGCGTGTCACATCGTCCGCATGTGCACACTTAAGGCATCAAGCTTGCGTCATGGTGGGTGTCCTCCCCCAAACGAAGCAAGCGTCTGATTTCGTGGTCGGGTCCCGACTCCATATGACTCTGTCAAGTGGCCGGGACCGCTAGGGGACTTGAAATGTCCAAAGGTGTCTGCGCCTCGGTGGCATCGCTTTGCGTCGTGCGTCTCGAACTTTCGTCATGAACCGCCCTCAACCAATGTTGTTTCCTCCTCCTTCACTCAAAGTCTTCGGGGCCTCCTATTTCGGGGATCTCATATACATTCATATAGCAGTCCGCCGAAGCACTCCACCCATTAACTATATGGAATTCCATGGTCTATCTATATCCCTACACCTTCAAGTACCTCCCTTCTCAGAAGGTACTTGAAGGCCGGTATAGAACTTCCCAAACGAACAGCTTTGTTTCGGTCCCAAGGGCTGCCGGGAAGGAGTTCTGTGCCGTTCCGTCCAAGACCCACACGGTCCATCCGATCAGTCCACCAGTTTGTTCGACCAAAACTGAAAGCTCGATCTCGGCGACCTGTCCATTCTAAGAGGACAGAAAGCCTCCAAACATGACGGAAGAGAAGCCCACACAAAATTTTTAAACCATGGTTCAAGAGAAGCCCACCTATTGTACAGGTCGTTATATTTACATGATATATGTGCATGTATCTACATGTTAAATGGACAGAGTACTTGGTGATTTGCACTTCTCAAGCATGTCCAACACGGAACAGGGTCACACCATCTAAAGCACCTTCACCCATTGTCTAGACAACGCGCTACCTCCGGGGATAGCTCAAAGTGAAGTAATGTACGTAGACTCTTGATCAATAAACCCCCCATGTGAAGACGGTTTACAACCCAAATGGAGGGACTTTTTAACTAAATTCTACATGATTCTACATCTATCATAGTTTGTTAACATTTGTTTCGAAAAGCGTAACATGCTCCCAAACGCAGTTGTTGATCACTTTTGCCTTCAGACGAAATTCCAGCGTTCACCCAAAGAACAGGGATGACCAGGGTCAGGTCGGTCACCGTTCGAACGGGCTCCACTCCCCTGCATCAGGTCGGTACCGAGCACACGCAAAATCCCCTTGGCCAACTCTTGAATGTGCCTGCGATTGCAGAGAGCTTGTTCTTGCGTGGGTCCACAGAAGTCGCCCAAAAAGCGTTGCAGAACGGGAAGCCAAAGCCTTGACCCTGGTGTTCCAAAGGCGAATGAACAGGCATGTCACTTGTCTTCATCAAAAAATAGAAAGGCCACTGGAGCGGTTCCGCCCAACCAACAAGGCCGCGCTCAAACAAAGCGCTTGGAACCAGTCCTTCTTGGAATCCAGTTCTCTGTCCCTTTTGACCTCATCTGCTTCCAAGCTACGCGGTTCCCTTACGGACTTGGCCAATCTTCACGGGCATTCACACGTGTATGTATATAATATGTATATATATATATATCTACGTCATCCAACGATGACCCCTACCTGATCGATTTGGGCCCCTGGAACAGGGGAGGGGGGGGTTCCGTCCATTCCACATGCCGCACGCATCCAGCCGCCTCGCATCATCCAGCAGCCGTTCGGCATCGGACTCCTCCGCCGCCTCCCGCGCCACGCGCGCGATGCGACGGAACTGGCGCTGGCGCAGCCAATCGGGGCGCCACTGAGGAAGCCTGGAAGCGTGGGATGTGGAGATGTCGCCGGAGATGTGTGTGGGTGTGTGAAGGACTGTCTAGAGCATACCACAACCACAATGCAGGTATTAGATGGCATTAGACATAGATTCCGGGTAGGTGCTCAATTGATCTTAATTGGTTCTGTCTGTTTTTGATTGAATATTCCTGGTCATGCGGATTGTGAATGCAGTTGCTATCATACTGCCTGGGGCTCTACAGGTTCAAAGTATGAAAGCTTTACCCATGTCGATGCCATCGAATCGAAGTCCGAGTCGATCTATCTATGACAACACTATGACCCTGTTAGGGGTCTGTTGTTCTTTCAGGGGTCTCTGGCATTGGCCTTCCATTCCAAACATTCACATCGTTCAGTTGAAACTCCCGGTCGCCATCTGACTGGAGTCTCTACGGAGTTGCACAAAACGGCTCACCACTCCAGTCTGCTTCGCAGCGGAAGGGTTGGGGAAACGAAAGAACCGCTTAGATGGGGAATGAACAGTGTAATTGGAACCTTAAAAATGGCTTGCTGTACATATTTGGAGAGCTGAACAGCTTCCTGGCTTGGGATCAAACATGTACTGCTTCGCTCTTCTTGTTGATCACCGCCCCAGAACTTTTTGAACCACGCCTGGGCTTCATCTGCTCGTGCATGGCGCGGTTCACCCGCAACATGGGAGCCATCTGGACGCCCAAGCCCCGCGCAAGCCAGTGAAGCATCATGGGCGCCTATGGCCGAAGATGGGCGCCAGACGTGAGGGGGGGCGCCCCAGTTCTGTCACCATCTTCCAAAACCCAATACACTCCATGGGACTGGAATAGATGCCGCCCCATTGACCCCCCAAACCACCCTAATGTAGGCATATATGGCATACATGGAGCGTCTGGGAAATAAATTGCAACATTTAAACTTAAGCACCGAAGAGATGGTCGTAGGTCCCAATTCGATCGATCTTTTTTGGTCTGCGACCTGGAGTTCTCAAAAAAAACACAGGGCATCTGATCTATGTTCAATCCGGCAAGACCGGCTTGCCAGGGTGAAGTAGGAAGGCAAAACAGATACCAACCCCTGGCTTACCAGATGCCTGTACATAGATCAGATGCCCTGTACCAGGGTGTCAGGGTGAAGTTGGGATCTCAATCATTCCCTCCAACATGTCCATACTTCAGGACCAAATCCGGCACCTAGGACCACCGCAAGCGCTTTCGGAAGGTTTCAGCCAACAAGGTTCCGTGCTTTGGCAATGACTGCGCAGGTGCGAGCTCTAGACTTCATGGGAAGAAATACTAAGAAATGGTGTGAGTAGGCACGTGCAATCTTTTCCAGTCTGTCAGGCCCCACCATTCGTCGCCCATTCGTGGCCTTCCCGATCACCCGATGTGCACGATGTCCGAATGTGTCTCAATCCCACCAAAGCCAGAGATCATTCACATATTGATTGACACATCATTGACTGACATAGAGATCCAGGGCTTCAGGGAGGTGGTCATTCGGTGTGTAAGACCTTCTCCGTCCCTCAACAGTACTCCTTTTGGGATCTCATGAGTTCAATCCAGACACATCCCCCGCATGAGCCCATCTCCGTCATCTGCGTGTGGGTTGTGTATTGAAATAGAGGGGGGGTGACCCCCAAAAACCCCTTAGTTCAAACATAACATAGACTAAAACCCAGTGGTTGTAGGATGCCTTCTGATAGCTTCACATGTCTGTTCCGAATGCCCAGCAAATCGATTTCGGCCTCGAGTGCTTCACAACGGTCAGCCATGGGAGGCGAAGGCAGAGAATAAAAAGAGTCACGTTTAACAAAGAAGAGTGTCTTAGATACGCATGAGCCATCATGAGCCCCATGGATGGGGTCTCTGGATGGCACATAAAACTACTGAAGTAAAGCAAGTTGCGGCCAAGTTGGAACGTTGGAATTGAGAGATTGGCAAGTTGAGCCAAGAAAATAATGTTGATATGAGAATCGACGGACGTGTAATTTAGTAACATCATTGATTCAGGTGTGTCTGCTGTGGCCATCTGCTCAGGTGCCGTGACTTGTTCTGATCGTCATTTTCACACCGCCATGAACACCTGCTCAACTCGTCGTGAGCCAAAACGCAAGAAGCTCGGACGTGTGGAGGAAGCACGGTGGAAGCCCGGTGGATGCCTGGTTCAAACATGTTTGGGAGACAGCGTCAGACAGCTGTCTCATGTGAACGGGAGAAGGCGTCTGTGATACCATTCCCATTGGCCCTGGAGTCTCCAGATGAAAATCATCCACGTGTTGCGAACAAGCACATGGTGGCACCATATTGCCACTGATACAACTGGAAGGTGTAGCCTCAATTCCTTGAATGGCCATTGAATGGCCCTGTTTTCTCTCATCTTCAACCTCCAAGGTAGATCTCATGGACGCTGGTCACAAATACTAACCTCTTGGAAGGGAAAGCTCTCATGAAGAGAATGATCAGCTTGATTATTGTTCAATATGATTATATATTGATCTGTTTACATTTATGTTATATACATAGTTACTAATTGAAACGTTAAAACTCCGTTATAATTCAACACACGTAAATCATCCACAAATCTTCAAAAAGACAGTTGATATTCGGAGAACGAGGTCCTGAAGTTCTTCCGAACCAAAAACCTCCTCCTGAGGCGTACATACACACCTAAGCCTAAGAAGATGCCGCCAGCTTTTCTTGTCTTGCGCAAGACCCAATCCATCATCTGTGGGGTATTCCCAGTGTTCCTCCCCATGGTCACTAAACACCCCACAGCAACCCACAAATCTCACCCTTAAAAAACAGCGGAAACGAGCCCCCGCACGTCGCTGGCGCGCCGCAGCACTGCGGCTGACACGACCTGAGATACCGGCTACAGGAAAGCTCGTTGTCGTACGACTTCGGGACGGCGCCAGCCATCTAGAGGCACTCGGCAAGAACTGATACATAGCAGAACTGTGTAGATTTCTTCTACTAGGTCTGAATATCGGGAGAACCTCAGCTAATTGACCATCTACTGTCCGCGCAAAGGAAAACCTCTTTGACCGGCTGCGAGTGTCTTGGATATCTGATCTCTGAGCGCTCGGACACCCAAGGCCACTGCCGCGTAGGCCTTGGCGGTGATTCTTACAGAAAGACCAACCACTGGGCACATGATGGTCCATGCGAATCATGTAAATCTCCAACCTTGCAGGACATCTAAAAATTTGTAAGCGTTGGGGGACGTCTTTTCTGGATGAGAATGATGCAGGAATGAAAGCATCTGCCTGAACGATTCAATCATTGCACCAAGGCGCACATTTCATCGCCGGGTAGCCAGATCGCCGGGTAGCCAACGGTTTCAAAAAGAACATCGTGCTCTTTTGTGAACAGTGCTTGTCCTTACTACCTATACCAGCTCCAGCGACCGAGGAGCTAGGCTACCCTGAGCCAATTTTATCCTCGGTCGACTGAGAAGCCTCTTGAACTCTTGAACCCGCATGCGCAGCACAAGTTTTGACCAATGCTTCATAGGTCTTTGCCACGGTCAAGTTGTTCAGGACTATCTGAAATCACAATGTTTGCGGATTTTTCAGATGTTTCTTGTTTCAGTCCAGGGCACATCTTTTTGATCCCTGGGAATTGTGACATGTCTTGTATGTTAATTCATGTTAATTCAATGAATCAGAATCCAAGACTAAGGCCGTTATCCGTTTCTTTCTTTTTGCTCTGGTGGAGGTCACAGACTCACCAAAGAATGGTGATCCCACGTCGACCCGATGTTGGAAGAAATCCTGTACCACGTGGAATGGTGACAGAACCTCCCTACAAAACCCTAAAAGGGTGAGTTCAGAGTCAAGTGGATGAGCATCCCCTAGTCACAGTCTATCGCATTTCGGCAAGCGCGTGAAGGTTGATAAAAGGGAGCATGTGAATCTGCGGCGGTTCTCAGCCCACTCTTAGTGCCCCGGCACTTGCGCCCCACGTGGTGCCAGTGCTGTTTGCTTCACCTGCCCATCCCAACGATGCTGGCCCGAATGTGGTGCACCAGCTGGGGATGCCAGTGAAAAACATCGGTTACAGTAATAGTCACAGCAGCATATGTGTTTGAGAGTGTGGTTGACGCTAGTCAATTCAACAGATGTGTTGGGTGAACCAAGAGGACGCTTTTCACACACGCGCACACACACAGGAGGCTACACACCCCGCTTCTCACCTATGCAAAACGGTGCTGCCTCAGCCAGCACAGCACGTGTCAAGTCTTCGGAGGCCTTTTGAGAGATTGCTTCCTTCCCAAACGATGTCAAGGAAACGGCTTCATTTCAACGAACGAGGTTCACAACAGGTTTCGTTCCGTGCTTCGTACACTGCCTTAGATTCATATTATACATACAGGGGGGGGGAAAAAGAATGATTGGCTATGACAAGTGGCACTCAAGCGGACAATGCATATTACATAAGATGATCATGATTTCAAGAAGGCTCTGTGTCTTATCCCAAACTTGAAGCAGAGAATAACCACACGGGGTGCAAAAATCTCAGAAACATATCCAATCAAATGTTCTCATCTTCCAGCGAGGGCTGGGTGTTGATGTTTTCGAATCAAACATCTCGATTGCCCAACATGCCATCGATGTCGATGTCGTGTGTTGCTTTCAATCATAGAAGAAACAAACCCATTATCTACAAGTACACTAAAACCACCTCTTGGAAGCTCAAACCCTCCTGCGGAGAAGCACATCCGGAACCAAAGTCCGAAGCGCCACGGCACGGGCCGCCGGTCGGCTGCCTTTGTTTTGTGCTTTGCCTGCCTCGCCTTGTGTTGGTAGGGTGAATTCCGCTCCAAAGCCCAGTGTCCCCCCCATCACAGTGCCTTTCGAGTTGCACTGAGGCTTGAAGCGAAGAACGGTTTTAAAAAATCGAAAGTTGAAGATGACATGGCACATCCAAAAATATCCCAAAAAAGAACCTAAATTCCTGGTTCAAAAGCAACATGTCACATTTTTCTGTGGTCTTGATTAGTACACTTTCTTGTCCCAAGCATATTCCCACTTCTGAGAGTTCATACCTAAGCAAAACCCCCACAAAACCAGACCTTCGTCGCACGTCACCGCGCCTCCTCGAAGTCGCCCGAGAGCCACGCGCGGCGAGCCGCCCGGCGCGGGAGCCACGCGCGGCGAGCCGCCCGCGCGTGGCGCCACAAAGGCACAAGCAACACCTGGGCGGAGCAAGCGGAATCGGATCGCCGGAGGAGGGGTGTTTAGAGTCACTGGATTAAGATCATCCACTGGATTAAGATCATTTAGAGCATCCATCTACTGTCATATACTATCACCTATAGGAAAATGACTGGGTGATCTTCACATGATTCATGTTGGGAGGGTACATCTGAAGAACTTGACCACACAGGGGGGGGGATCGTCTCCTCGGCTCGTTGTCACTACACCTGCAAAGGCACTGGATGTTGCCCGCAAATCGTTTGATGGAGCTTGCACAACCCCCGCAAGGAGAAGGGGAGACGAATGGCGCATGGCCAGCAGCCAAGGCCTTACCACTCCTTGAGGTGCCAGGCATCCCAAAAGCAATCCCAGTAGCCAGGACTTCGACATGACCTGCGAGGCAGGAAAGATGCTGCAAGGCATCAAGCGAGACAAAAGAAGCCCACGTACTGCGTTTCGCAGGAGAGCGATGAGAGGTCCTTTGAGCCTATCTGAAGGTCCATCTTGGCATGTCAGCCACTCCTCATGTTCCATGGAAACACACTCTTTGTGTTTCACTTCCGCAACCACTGTAGCGTGAAAGTCACAACCAAAGTGAACCATGCGTCTTCTAGCCAGAGTCCCAAGCAAGATATGCAAAATTGAAGGCTTTCGGCCCAACGAATGACGTACGTCACACGATTCGCCCAAAAGTCTGACTTTTCTGTGCGTTCTGGAGAAAGTAACCAATCCATACACTCAGGGTACATCCAGCCACAGCTGTCTGGCAACCCTGGACCAATCATTTCCTTCTCCAAACGGCTTGAAAGAAATACCCAAAGGAGAGTCTACCATGGTCATAGTCGTCCACTTCGACACTTGCACCGTTGACGACTCCCGTGGAGCAATCCTACGCCTCACCCGCCACCGCGCCCGCCACCGCACCGCGGAAGACTGAAGGTGACGAGAGCGACTGGAAGAGCCGACAGGGCGACTGAGGACTGGGTGGACCAAAAGATCTTCGGTGTTTGTGTGTGTGCTTTCATGTTTGACACAATAGCCATGGACATGCCAACATGATCCAACATGATCCAACATGAGTATATTACTCATAAAATAGTAATATATAATTTATTAAGTCGAGTATACTCATTTCATCTCATTTCGACTAGCATTGTCTGTTTGCAAAATGAACCTTCGATGTTGAGACTTCACCTACCATAACTACCTCACAGGTGGCTGGTTCAAAGCACTGAGGTCAGCCCAATGAGTCGAGGTCTATGAATTCTTACTTCGCTGTTGTGAATCCATGTCAATCGATGTCAATTGCAGCTTATCTTGGGTGGTCAGATGTTCAGATACAAGCCAACTTGACATAGCTTGATGCCTGCAACTGATCCATGGAATCGCTGGGATCGGAGGTCAACCCTGCTCCCGTCCATCGCCAGAGCATCACCCTTCTTCAAAGCTTAAACTCTTGGTTGTCCCTCTATTTTCACCCCTCAAACAGCTGAAGCAACCCAACCCTGGAGTTTCCAACCGTCTGGGCACCGCCTTTCTTCGCGTTGGCACCGCCAAGATCTGGTCGATCTACGGGAGGTGAGACCGGAAGAAGTCAGGTGGATCCGCAGGAGTCTTGTGCACTGGCATCGGTTTTTCGAAGTCCGAGAACAAGACACGAAGCGCTCGGTGTCGCTCGGTGTCTCCGGTCGCATCCGGATGGATGGATGAATCTTTTTGTATAACTATCAGTTCCCAACACTGGAGATGTGAAACTTTGGTGGAATATAGTCCCATGGTGGAACTGTCTCAGGTTCGGACCTGTAGGGCCTGGTCATGCAAGGCTTTGTGCCCCGTCAGACCACAGGTTTTCCAGGCTTGATACCCCCTGCATGTCGTAGATCGAGCTTGATGAAATGGACCATCAAGATTCACGGATCGCTGTTGAGGCACGGCATCCAACACCGAGCAAAGCAGCAGTATGACTCTGATGTTTATACCTTTGGTATCCTTTGGTGGCTTTAAGTGGACTGGTAGCGGTGCTCTCTTTGTCAAACTATACATATATATACACAGAAAATATGTGGTTATGTGGTCTATCTTCCTGCCGAAGAAGCATGGGTTGAATGAATAGCCCTCATGGTCACGTTGCTTACCAATCATGCAACTGTCCTTCAGTTGCGTGATTGATCTCGTGTCAGGCACAGGTGTATCGGGTAGCATGATGATTCAATGATTAATACTGAATATGAATATTCATTAATTAATACTCTACGCACAATTTGACGTCTCAGCCCACCTCCAATGAAGTTGTCGTTGTAGGAGTAGGGGCCCTTCCGCTCAAGGATGTCTGGATATCCATGCAAGGAGAAAATGGCATCTCCGTCCCTTCTCATAGCATACTGAAAATCAAACTCAAAGTCAAATGGACCTGAGGGACCGCGCTTTGCCCATGCTGGCAGTTAGGACCTTTAAAACATCGCTGCGTCGCTCAAGCATCTTGCATCTTAGACCCACCTGTCTCCATTCCGCAGGGCATAAGCTCAGTAGGGCTGGAAGCGCTCTTTGCTGGATTCTGTTCGCACAGCATCCGTCAAAGCTGGAGTGGAATCTGCCGAGTCGAAGAAAACGAGCAGATCGATCGTTCTGGGCTGAGAAATAACGCGAAGATCCCCACGTTGTGGCGCTTTATGATGGGTCTGATTCCTGTTATACCAAGGAACAAAAACAATATCGAATGAGACAACCCTCGGTATGCAGGTGTCGTAAGATTGAGATCCCCTCTAATTTCCAATCAAGAGGGCAGAATGTATCCCAGGGATCACCCTTGTCGCATCGATAGAGCTCCCAAGTTGGTAGTAAGATGTAGTAAGTATATTCAACCTCCCACATGAAGCATCAAATATAGACGCCCTCGCCTGCGCCTGAACTGGGACAACCGTTGGCTCCACCACATCCTCCAGTGGTGCAGTTTGCCCCACAGCCGCCCGCAACTCCGCAGCCGCAGTTCATGCAGCCACCACAGCAGTTGCATTGGCCACAACCGCAACTTCCACAGCCACAGCCACCACAGCCACAATTTCCGCAGCCGCTACAGCCGCTACAGCTGCCACAACCGCAGCAGCCTCCACAGCAAGGGCCGCAGTTTCCGCAGCCGCAGCCGCCGCAGTTTCCACAGCAGCCTGCGTTGCAGCCACAGCCGCCACAGTTCCCGCAGCAGCCTGGGTTACAACCACAACCACAGTTGCCACAACCACAGTTACCACAACCGCAATTGCCACAACCGCAGTTGCCGCAGCCGCAGTTGCCGCAGCCGCAGTTGCCACAACCGCAATTGCCACAGCCACAGCTACCACAGCTGCCACATCCACTTCCACAGCTGCCACAGCAGCCTGACGCACCGCAGCCTGAGCTGCCACAGCCACTGCAGCTTGGGCATGCACCACACCTCAGCACCGCAGGCCAGGTCGTTGCTGCCCCGCCGAAAGCCCAGGTTGGCAGGGTCTCTAAATGTCGTGAGCTCCACGGGACTGCCATAGGACTGCCGATCAGTTGGGGTGGTGCGTTTGAGGGTCAATGGGGCGGCATATATGCCAGTCCCATGGAGTGTCTGGGAATGGGTTTACTTTCCAAAATTACAAGAATACGGTGGGGTGGTCATTGAGCACAAAGTTCAGTGGCGCACAAAGAGCCTTTGATGTTCGAAATGGCATTGTCCCTTCACTGGGTGTCCCTACCCACATCCACAGCCGCCGCAAGCGCCATTGCCGCAACCCCCGCCGCAGCCACCACTGCAGCCGCCTCCGCAGCCACCCATCATCATGGGGTTCATGCCTGAGTCAAAAAATACTTGAACTGATTTCGTGGTTCGCCTATATAACTGATTTGCGTACCCCCAGACCGCCAAGGCAGTTTCTTCTCAAACGAGTCCCCTCAAACAAGCTTGGACACTCCATTTCTCAGTGACAATGTTTCCAGTGTGTCGGGTACCTTCTGTTCAAACACACAATATTGGAACCCAACCGATTTGTGAAGAACACGTGTTCTTGGACTAACCCATGTTTGTGTGTATCAGGATGCCTTGCACACCCTGTCCAGCTTGGCGTCCACACCCATCATCATAGGCATCATGCTCATCATGGCCTGGTCACACCAGTGAATCAAATATATTCTTCCTCTGGAAGACTCCAAGTTGATTGAAATTCCAATCTAGTGCACTGCACTCGTTTCAAACAGGAAAACATGAAAACATCATAAAACATCTGATTTCTCTGAAGCGGACTTTCGTATCTTGATGCGATTCTGAGGGAACGTGATCTCTCACAGAAGCTTTTGGTTTGACACCGTGGTCACTCCGACAAACGCTGGTTCTGTCCTTTTCCGTGTGTCTCGTCTCGGCCCGTCTCGGCGGAACGGAAGATTCACCCGGATTGGTCGGTCATCGAACGCTTTGATGATCCGTTCCTGATGCACATGATGAATCGAATCGGACAAAGCATCTGCCATACAGTGGTTGATCAATATTCCTTCATGTTGGAACCGCCATTCATCATGAAAGCACTCATAATTGTCGCATGCTTTCGCGGAACTGTCGCGAATACATGTTAACATGTGCTTGAACTACAGTAGTGCAAAAACACACACCGGTGCCCGGCATATTGTAGCATGATCTACAATCTACACAGAAGGTTGAGAGTTGCCACGGCTATTCTGCTGTAGGGTCACTTGAAGCATCTGCGCAACAAACCTTGAGACATATTTTACGGGTGTTTCAGAAAGACTCATGCACAACTCATCCCAACCCAGCCAACCACCAAAATAGGGTAAGGTAGCTGGGTTGACTAAAATCGGCAATCGCGGGATTCAAGTTTGGTAACCTGGACTTTAAAGGCACATTCGCGGAACTTTCACATGGTGATTTCCCTGACAATGCATTTCCATGCATTTCCTGCATAAGCATCTGCACAACTGTCAGCTGCAAATTGTTGCCCCACTGTCAGGGCTGCATAAGGACAAGTTGAGTTCTCATTCTTTTTGGTCTGTGACTGTGGGGAAAGGAATCGGAGAGACCTTTACTGCGCAAGGATACGATAAGGTTTCAGGCTGTTAGTCTGTGACTTTGGGGAAAGGAATTAGAGAACCCTTTATGCACTGTGAGGGCTGCGCAAGCATGCGATTTGGTTTCAGTTTGTTTGTCTGTGACTGTGGGGAAAGGAATCAGAGAATCCGTTGTGCACTGTCACCGCTGCTTAAGGAAGAGTCAAGGTTTCGGTTTGTTAGTCTGTGACAGTGAGGATACTTCTGCCCACCGGATAGCCGGAGGATTGCCTCGTATCTACCATAATATGATGTCGGTAGAAAGGAAATAACTATGTATATAACGTAATATTATAAAGAAGACCTTCGACAAATCTTTCACGGACAACAAAACTTTCGCAAAGCTCGCCGCAGATCTTTCGCGGATAGTTTAGACAAGGTACATTTTGTACGAAACCCCAGATATGCCCCTTTAGATTAACAACTCCCATGTTGTTAGCCTTGGCTCTTACCAATGCTCCTTCCAAATTATCCCAAGCGAACTCGTGGCGTGACACTGGCATATCTGTGCATTTTGTTGGTTCAACGTTGGCCGTACACCTAGGACTCGAGAACCTCATTTGGGGGCATCATTTGTGGAACCTCAGGCCCTCTCTGTCGAGACCGCTAACAAACATATACAATGTATTCCTGTGCACATACATCTTGGAGGTTGATCATCAAACCTTTCACAACAATCAATTCGAAAACTGCAATGTTGCAGAGATTACAAGGGTAAATCACTGGGACGCATGCGGCCAAACGGAGACATCGCTTACAGCAGTCTTCCATTGTGGCGCTGTCGATGTGGATGTGATTTGTTGGGGAGAGTGTACCCTCACAACCAGCAGGTTGTGAAGCCATGTGAAGCCCACCAAACCCATTGACGCTGTTCCATTGTGCAGCCTTCATCATCTTCCCCATCTGATTCTCATCACCCTCTTTGGTCTCTTTGCTCGAGGAGTCGTCTCCACCTGGCTGTGTGCCAACGACCCAAACAACAAGCCCTTTTGGGCAAACGAATTGATCGAATTGTTTTTGGAGACATCAACTGGAATCTTCAAAACACGATTAAGATAGGACTTAAAACAGCCAAAAATTGAAAACAACTAGCAGAAATACAACCACAAGCTCCAGAACTCCAGAACTGTGCCATACTCTCCATCAACACTCTAGTTGTCTTCTCTTGGCCTGTTCTTTCTCACATTTCACTCCATCCAGCAGTTGATGAGGTGCTGTTAAGTGGCGCTGGCGCCGGACAACAACGCTGCCACCGTTCATGTTTAACAGTGAAAACCATGTATAGTGGGGATAGAAACATATAGAAACGGTGTCCAATACATATTGAAAGGGGGTTTTACTACTACCTATTATTTGGGTGTCTAGAGAATTTATAACATTATATATATATATATTTATTATATATATTTTTTTAAATAAACCGGATGAATGGGACCCATGACGTGTCCATCATCTTCAAAGACCAGCGGTCTTGAGCAGAGCATCGAGTTTGGATGGAGCCCAGCCTCCGGCCTCTTGGTTGAGGAACGAAACAAAAGTTATGTGTCTATTCCAGTTTGAGCCCAGCCTCTTTAGTCCAGTTTTTCTCTAGTCAGTGTTTTCATCATGATGTTCTTCCAAACAAAAGTAGCGAACAGTGTGTCTTGACGTTGATGTTGCACCAAGAAGCAACAGCCCAGAGTTTGCCTAGCCCCCAACCACCCCTCCGCGGGAGAACACCCGCCTCCACCTTGCATCGCAGCCGCCGCCTGATTCACTTGGACCCTCCGAGCTTCGGAGGGTCACTCGCCCCCGAACCGCTACGCTGGCGACGTGCTGAAAGCATCCGAAAACGGTGCAAATTCCGGATCTTCCTGTCCCTTGAACTGAATACAGGCCAAATACCTGTAGCTACGAGGACAGTATATATTATATATAATCTTAATATCTTAATAACATGTCCAAATCGGTCGGTATTACACCACTCCACTCATGGCGGCTAGGATGCCAAGTCGGTCATGCCCCACCTGCAGGTACTTCTCCGCAAAGCCTGACTCGTACTCGTCCTGAGTATCCTTCGCCTGCCGAGTCGTCTGGCCGCGAGACTTGTTCCGAAACGAGGAAATTCAAGGCATGAAATACATGGATCCTTGTTGTCCTTGTTTGCCATGGACCCGAGGCTTCGATTTTGAAAGCTGACCGGCCACCGCCCCTTGCAGGACGATGGTCTTCTGAAAAAGCCCCACAAAGCAATGGATGGGAGCTCCCTACTGAGTTCCCTCCTAGAACTCTGCCCTTTTGATTGAACAAGACAACCAAAGAGTCTTTTGGATGTTGGTCTGGTTCATTCAAAAGCAAAAATCCTTCTTCTGCGCCTGGTGCTTCTCTTTCTTCGAGGCCAATGGAGGCAGGCTGGGCTTCTGCAGATGGCAAGCAGCAATCCGAACATTGACGTGGGCTCGAAATCACATTGGAGCGCATCTTTAAAATGAGATGCTTCCGAGCAATGGGCAGGCTGGGTGAGCTGCGCATTCATTCGCCATCCTGACACATGTATCCAAGGTGGGCCTCACCGTTGTGGCACGGTCACCCTTTAGGGTATAATACGCACAGTGGTGTGTAATTAGTTTGCGGGAACCCAGGGAAGGCAGACATGCAGAAACACGGAAAGCAAAGAAGCAGGAAGAGCACAGAAGCGGAAAAGCAAAGAAGCAGGAGGAATCAAAAAAGAGACAAAACTAAAAACTAAAAAGGAGAAGGAAAGGCCCTCCGACCAGAAGCAACAACATAATCCGCAATCATAGTTTTCACCAGCCCTAGGTGTGTGGGCTAAGACCCCGCACCGCTGTGCCTATCCAAAAGGGATTCATCTACCATGCTTGGGGCGGTTCACTTGACTCTTGATCCACATCTGTGTATGAATGAGAGGTAGATTAAAAAAAGCTAACATGCACTTATATATCTCACCTCTCTATGAAACTCTTATGCGGCCCATCATTTGGTTCATATCTTCAGCCAAACATGGACCACACACCGACAGAGGCACCCGAAACCACCTACACCGACGCGGACGGAGGCGGCGGTGGCACCACCGCGCCGTCACCGGGCCTTTGGCATCGAAGCCACCTGTGGCTTCACGTCGACCCACTTGTTGTCGATCCTCGTCGTCATGTCAGCGCTTTTGATCGATCTCATGTGATGTCCCAGATTTTCAGAAGGTGGCAGGAACTCTGATTCTTGGTGTGAACACATCTGCAAACAGGCGCAAAAGATGCTTGGGGTGATGATTGCACATCGCCATACATGCATGTGACGTGTGTGTGTGTGTGTGTCACTTTCAGGGGAGTACCAAAACGTCCAATGGTACACAACGAAATACAAAAAGAGACACAATGATGTTTAAAAGGTAAGTCCAATTCAACTCCCCAGTCACATCACTTCAATGTTCAGTTGACCATGATGAAACCAGCAAGAAGCTCCTTCTTCTGTGTTCCGGAGCATTGTTGGTCACCCCTCTCTTCTCTGGGTGGCCAGACATGTGGCTCGAGTGGGCCTGGAGCACCTTGGAGACTGAGACCTGGTCGGTGCTGGGCCAGTCGCCCCCGAATGCTGTTGGATGAGATGGAGAGAAACATCCGAAAATCGATGGTTCCCTGGGTTCCCTGGGTGGTTCCTGCCCTGTTTGGTCGCAAAAACATCTCTTCCGGTGTCGCCCAAAATTGCATTTCTCTTCATGCCGGTGATCAGTTACCTCTGGCCACCCGAAAGGAATCTGATTGGTTCTCCCAGGATCGGTTTCAGGCACAGCTTGCAGGAACCATTTGAGATGGAACATGAAGGTCATTCTGCTCAGTTACTCAAGTTGATGTTGCCAGTTGTTCTTGCTGCTTGGATGCTTGGATGCCTCGCCCACGCCGCGTTCGCCCGTCGTCCACCTTCTCGGCGAAGGTCACGAAGCAGAAGCCCCGCGAGGTGCCATCGGGCTGCTTCTTGATCTCCACGTGGTTCACCTGAGACGGCCCGGCTCGCGACCACCGGTCTTCCGTCCCGAACCCGCCGGGACTGGAAGAACAGGTGGGAGAACCCAAGAGAGGAGCACTGGCGACAGTAGGAGCACTGTTGAGTCATGTTGCTTCAATCCATCTGAAGATGTTGAAGATAAGTCTTTTAGACTTTCATGATGTCCTAAGCATGACTTTGTAGCAACATTCTTGCAATTGTTGGTGAAACTGTTCGTCGCAAACGCGCCAAACACAGCCAAATGTTGCCCAAACCGCCTGACCAAACTTGGCAAAATGCCCGGCGACCTTGTCCTGTGAGTCTGGCTTGGAGGAAGAACTTTCACAGCTTCCATCAGCGGAACAAAAGAACAAATGAAGTGCTGGTTGTTTGCGATCCTCAAACAAGTATTCAATATATTGTGTGTATGTAATTGTATGTGATAATACTGTGTATATACTACGGTGTTCACTGATTCTCATCTGTCCAGCCGATGTGCTTTAAGCGCTGATGGTCCCTTAAAAAAAAGTGCTACAGTAATTAGCCTCATGGAAGGCTTTCAGGTGAAAGGTGGAAGAAGCCTTCCACGGCTTTGCCAACAAGGCCTTCAACCAGCCTCAATCTACGAAAACCAAGAGTCTCCATGAAGCAACTTCAAGGCCTCTCCGTCGCAAAAGCTTCAACTCTTGAGATCTCTTGAGGTACGGATCGATGTCGAACATTTCCTGTCGAAGCCTCCGTCCTCGGTGGTGCTCTTCCGGAGGCCGCCCACGAAAATGGTGTCCTCGCCAAGGCCCCGCGGCTAGGAATGGATGGACGTCGAGGCGGATGTCCGATGACCCGGTGGCAAGCCGAAGAAACCAACTGACTTGGGTGTCGCCAGTGGTGACAAGCTATTGAATTGAATCCACTGGGGACATCTGCTTTCAAACACAACCTTTGTGAAAGGGTCTCAACCAGGTGTGGGACTGCATAGATCACGGATACTTTTCGTCTCGAACTAGGGTAACTGGGACCCACTGCTATTTATTCGCACTGTCACAGAACCTGTCAAGATACTCTGGAGGAAACCCACCTTTGAAAGGAAAGCCATGCTGCTAAGTCTCACGAGCTCGACTTAAGCTGCTGCTACAGTGGGCCGTGCGCGTGGGCGGTGTCAGACCTGTCCTCTCGGCCCTCCTTCACAAAGCCCTTGCTTCCAGCATCTGATGATGTTTTGGACAGGGGGTCGATGGGTTTGGGGGAGTTCATTCGAATGCCAAAACGCATCAAATCGAAGGAGTCTTGTATTGTCGGATGTTTGACCTTTTGACTGACGTGCTTCCTTCAGCATTCGGAGATGTGAGTGGTGAAGACTTGGGACCTGTCCTGATTCCAAGCATCAGATTCAAAATGATTCCAATGGCTTTCGCTTCTCATTGCCAGTCATGCTTCTTGAAGTGTTTCACAGTTTCACCCTTCTGCCTGCCATCACGGCCGGAGCACCGTCAGTCTTTTCCTCTTCTCATGTCTGGCGAACTTCCGTATATATAAATGCGATGACATCTTGATGAGTAGCTGAGTAGCTTGGATTCCATACCTGTTTCTTGGTTCAACTCCTGGAAAGGGATGGCGTCTTGGAGAAGAATCACTCGATATTGTTATTCAAACTGCAAACTACAAGCTACGACTTCACAGGACAGTTGAATCTTAGCGTTGTAACTTATGTCAGCCTTCAAACAAAACCCACCAACTGTCATTGCTTGATGGTCAGTTCACCCAAATGCATCGGAGTAACTGAGTAACTAGTAAATTGCAGTCTGGTAGAGCAATTTTCACTTTCTTTACATGATGTTGAAATGACATCGGCTGTGACCACTTGCTGAGAAGAGCCTCATCGCCAACTGCATTGTAAAAGGAGCTTCATGTATTGCGGAAGTCCTAAGCATGGATTCAAGCAGTATCAAGTAAATAATATATTGCCGTCTTGCACAATAATATGCACTCTTTAACTGGGAGCCAGCAGTAGCAGCAGCGGCCAACAAACTGGTGCCATCGTGATCTGTCTGTCGCTTGAAAACATGTACCTTCTGACTCACCAACATGGAAGTGGACAACTACCTGTTTGTAGAGGAAAATGGCCTTCCCAGTGGCCATTGTCCATTTCCATGATAGTGAGTCGGAGTGTACTCAAAGTTTCGGCTTGAGGTTGGATGGCTCAATCCCACTTGCACCTCCGCCTTTTCTTCTCTCGTGATGTCTCACGAAGAGATCCACACAAGTCTTTGGCAGCAACAAAAAGACCAGAAACTGATAGCTGTTGTTTGCAATGGAACTCAAGGACGACCCAAACAGTTCAAGCCGTTTTTGTCTGCTCCTGGGAGGCTTTTTCATCGCTAAACACCACTGGACCCGTTTCTGAGGCGCTCGTAAAGTGGCTTGATTTATCTCCCGTTTGCCCAAGACATCATGGGACATCACCACAAACCACTGTAAGTATCAAACAATCCTCAGGCGAAGTTGATCATTCCAGCTCCAACTTGCCCAAGTCTGTCTGCCTTTTTCCGGAGCGAATCCGCGCAAATGCTCGCCCGGAGCGAATCCTGACAGCAATGGAACAGGAAAACACACTGATATGGTAAACTGCCTGGCCTATGTTTGGTTGGGAGTAAAAACAATATGATGTGGCTGAACTTCGTAGACCAACTGTGAATAGAAATCCCAAAGGCATCAGGAAAAAGAACGACCAAAAGAAGTCACCCAGTCAACATCCTACTAGGAGCAAGGACGCTACTAGGGGCTCCTGGCCTTACTACTATAGGAGCAAGGACGCTACGAACAGGGCTCCTGGCATCGCTACTAGGAGCATTCTTACTACCAGGAACAAGAAAATCTATATCCCTAGCTCGATCCCAAGATCGCTGCGGTCTTCGGCCTCGATCAGATCCAGGTCATCTGATCCGCACTCTTCCTCGCTGCATCCGGACCGATGTCTTCCCGGAGCGATGTCTGGTATGTCTTGGTCACACCTGGTGGGAGGCAGAATTCTCTGCCAAAAAAAACTCGCGCGAACCACACTGAGTTCATGAGATACCTGGTAGCTTGTAGAATCTGTAAGGCTGTTTGTCGAGCGGTAAGACCCTTGAAGACAGCATCAGCATACACTTCTGAATGGAAACTAAATGCACAAATATGTGTCAAGCATTCATGTCGGCGGGTAGACCCCAAGAACACTATGCCACCTGCTCCGAGTTTGGGGCAAGTTTGTTGTGGCAAGGTCTGGACATGTCCCTTACTGCTGCTTTCACTCCCTTCCTATACAAATACGATGAGGGGCCTTGAAATTCTTGCGAAGTAGAGAATAGACCACAACCAATGCAAGGTGCAGGGGCTTAGGGGTCAGCGTTAAGTTCGGAAGCTGAAACGTTGGGTTCGGAAACTAAGCTTCGGAAACTGGAAACGTTGGGTTGGGAAACTCGCACATTGGGTTCAAACAGTTGCAAACATGAATGTAAAATCAATACCATTCAATACCCTCCACCATCTCCCCACCCCCCCCATCAAAAAAGACTTCCAAACCCGACAAAAAATAGTTTCTGAGCCCGGAAAAAAGAAGGCGCAGTTGCTGAAACCAGTTTCTGAACCCTAGAAGCTTCTGAACCCTAGTTTCGGAACTCTAGCTTCTGAACTTTACTTTCTTCGGGGCTTAGGCTAGGTGAAATCCGACCGGAAGGACGTCTTCCGGCGCACGATCCAGATTCACCCCAGTCATCATCTATGATCCCCGATGCAATCATTTTGAACAGTGTGTTTGAAAACTCTGTTCAAGTGCGGCTCACCAATAGTTGAAAAGACTCCTCAAATCGCAGTGCCTGATGAAACATGCATTTCGGGACCGAGTCCACCCGATTCGGGTCGCATCGCTCGCGGTGTCCACCCTGGTTTTTCCCAAACATGTGACACTTGCTTTGGGACTTCGGGTCTCGAGCCCCACGAAGACCGGTGAAACCGGTGGCCGGTTCGGGACGAGTCTACAGCCAGTCTACCCAGCCAGGGACAGCCCTCCTCTGAACCTGCCACGACTCCTAACCCGGAGGAAGCGATGACCACCCGCCGGAGGCAGCAATGCAGTGAAGCTTAGATCCTGAAGGTCCTCAGTGCTGAGGTCGTTTCTTCTATTCTGCATATCAGTGAGGTCAAACTGTTTGCTGGGCAGAAGTCGTGGTCATTGCATGTGCTTGGGGCTTTCAAGCTAGACACCATCGCTTGGTGTGGTATTGAGAGGTGTACGGAGTATTGAATGCACCTGTTTATGCCGTTATCTTTAAGCTCTTTGATTGCGTTCTTTGCGTGGGTTTTGGTAGATACAAGGGGCTTTCTGGCATATGGTAGTTGTAGCTGATCGCTCCTGACAATGTCCTGCACACATGTTTGTGTAACTGTTGCAAGACAAAGGTCTATGGGTCTATCATTGATATATTGCAACAAGGCGACGCAGCACAAGATGTAGACCCGAATAGATGGAAAATTCTGAAGTCCAATCTGTGCAACTACCTGCTCCAGGCTGGGAGACGTGGCATGCAACAAGTCATCCGCAAAAAGCAAAAT